CCAACGTGTTTTCTCAACGTTTAAAGCCACAAAAACTTCTTATAACGTTAAAATAAACCCCCATAATCGTTGAGCAGGGTCATGGAACACTCCTGGACAAACCTGAGCGTGTCCCATGAGCCACAAAGCACTAAGACAGAAGATCAAAAACCCCAGAAAACACAAATAAACTCGAATTCTGATCTCGGCCACCACGTTGTAAATCCAGTACAGCTTCACAGATGCTGTAGCATCCTGGATGCAAACTCAATTCAGAACGATTTAGCCAAAAAGGTGATAAAATCACACACTCTGGGCTTCATTTGGTAAAAATCAGAGGTGAGCAGCTTCCTGCACAGAGGGAGTTATGGGGATGAACCCGAGGATTGATCTGGGGATGAACCCGAGGATTGATCTGGGGATCAGCCTCAAATCCGGGGGATCCCAAATCCAGGGACCTCCAGCTCCAGGGACCCCAAATCCAGGGAGGGAGCTTCAGGGGCCCCAAATCTCTCAGCCCTCCCAAAGCTGCCTCAGGCCCCTGTCTGGGCCCCCAAGACCCCCCCACGGCCCCCCAGCCCCCCGCGCACCCCTTGAGACCCCCTGAGACCCCCACGCACTTCCTCAGCTCCCCCTCGCCTCTCAGAGCCCTCCTCACCTTCCTCTCACCCCTCAGACCTCCTGAAAGCCCCACGCAACCCCTGAGACCCCCACGCAACCCCTCAGCTTCCCCTCGCCCCTCGGACCTCCATGGCCCCCCCCTCAGCTCCCCACGCACCCCCTCAGCCCCCCCTCATCTTCCCCTCGCCCCTCAGGCCTCCCCGGCCGCTCGCGGTCCCCGCAGCCGTGCTCACCGGCGCCGGCGGCGGTGGCGGTGGCGGCCATGGCGGGGATCCCGGGCCGCCCCCTCCTCGCTCCGCTCCGCCGAACCAAGATGGCGGCGCAGGAAAACCTCCGCCGGCCTCGCAGCCCCACCACCCCGGGGGCGGGGCCAGCGCCGCGCGGCGCTTCTATTGGTCCAGCAAGGGGCTGGGGGCGGGGCGAAGGAGGGACGCGGCGCTGCTATTGGTCTGAAAGTCGGGCTGGAGGCGGGGCGAAAGCGACAGCGCAGGCAGCGGGGCGGGGCGAGCCGTACAGGGCCCCGCCCCTAATTGGGCGGGGTTTATGGAGGGCGGGTTCTTTGGGGCGTGGTTACTGTGAAGGGCGGGGTTTATTTTGGTGACGTCCCGTGCTGGGGACTGGGATTGGGATTGAGACTGGGATTAGGGTTGGGACTGAGATGGGGAATGGGGTTGGGACTGGGGTGGGAATTAGTGTTTAGACTGGGATCAGAGTGTGGTGGGAACTGGGACTGGGATTAGGGTTGGGACTGGAGTTCCGGTTCAGTTTGGGATGGGGATTAGGGTTGGAATTGAGACTGGAGTTTAGGGTTTAGACTGGAATTAGGTTGGGGTGGGAATTGGGACTGGGATTGGGGTGAGGCAGGGAGTGAGGATTCAGATGACATAGAGTTTCGATTGGAACTGGGACTGGGACTGGAATAGGATTCTGGGTCAGGACCGGGATTTGGGGGGCATCAACGGGACCCCAAAACTCATCCTTTGCTGAAAAATCTCTGGAAAGTCCCCCCCCCCAACCCGGGGACACTCACGGGGCAACAAAATGTCACTGTCTTCCCAAAGCGACCATTTTTCCTCTTGGAGGGGGAAAATAGGGGGACTCAAGGGACATTTTCGGGTAATTTGGGTGTTTTGGGTCTTGTCACGAGTCTGTTTTGCAAGAACCAAACAGGCAGCTCAGTTCAATGCATTTTCCAAGAGTTTCTCCCGGTTTATTCCAAAGTAAGACAAGAGCCAGCTCAAAATCCTCTCCCAGACTGGGAAGACCTGGTTCTTGCTGTATTTTGGGATAAATCCTCCTCAGCACTTCCCAAACCACCCCACGCCCCAAGGAAGACCTGAAATGGCCCCTGGAGCCTCGTCCCGATGGGAGAAGGGGGTGTGGGGTGGGAATTCAATCCTCTGGTTGTGTCTCCCGGGCGCTGGGAGCGTCTGAAAGGTGATGCCGGCGCATTCCTGCAGAATTCATGAGGCTCTGGAGCCATCCTGGAGCCGGAGGGGCCGGGACAGGGACCCTGGGGCCGGGACAGGGACCCTGGGGAGGTAAGGACGGAGCTGTTCCATGGGATGGGGGTCGGATCCAGGGGTTTCCCCCTCCCTGAGACCCCCTGGAAAGAGGTTGGGGCCAGGTGGGCTCAGGATTTGCTCCCAGGGAACAACAGGATGAGAGGAAAAGCTCTCTAGCTGCTCCAGGTGAGGTTTAGGTTGGATATTTGGGAAAATTCCTCTGTGGAAAGGGTGGGCTTTTCCAGCAGCGCTGGGCTGGATGATTGGAGGGGTCTTTTCCCACCTCAGCAATTCCACAATCCCATAATTTAGGCCCGTGGATTTGTTTGCCATCCTTGGTGCACCCAGGGCTGGCACATGTTTTGGCTTCACAAACACGTTAATAAATTAAATAAATATCTGTGTTTATTTAAATAAACACATGTATTTAAATAAAAACAAATATTTATGACAAATATTTTAATTATTGACTTATTATAAAATTAAATTATAATACCAAATAATGCATTAGTAATACTATATGTAATATCTTAAAATACATGATTACATTGTATTATATTATCTATAAAGCATTAAAATATGTATGGTATACTAGAATACATTACATGTTATAATATATAGAATATATTGATTTATAATATAGCAATGATAGAAATATTAAGTAATATTGAATATTATAATATTAAATTATTATATCAACACCAGTTTTAAGAAATATTTAAGTAGATATCCATATTTATTTCTCCAGATTCCTGGGACACACCTGAGGGTCCCTGGAGCCTGAGGACACACCTGAGGGTTCCTGGGACACACCTGAGGGTCCCTGGAGCTTGAGGACACACCTGAGGGTTCCTGGGACACACCTGGGGGTCCCTTCCAGCCAGGACACCCCCACCTGAGGATCCCTGCATGGAGAGCCCCCCGGTGCCACCCACCCTGGACGTGGACAAGGCCGTGGCCACGGCCTTCGTGGTGCTCCTGGGGCTCTTCCTCCTCGCCATGAGCGTGCGCTGTGCCCGGCTCGTGGTGGATCCCTACAGTGCCATCCCCACCTCCACCTGGGAGGAGGAGCCCATCAACTGACCCCCCCCCAACCCCCTGAGACCCCCAACCCCATCCCCAGCCCCACCTGGAAGGAGGAGTACATCAACTGACCCCCCCCTCAG